TAGGCGCTGAAACCAGCTGCCCTCACAGGGCTATCGAAAGACATAGATAACAAAACTTACAGGCATTTTTACACCTCAGAGTTGTTGGCGAGTAGTTTCGACAAGTGTCACCTCCCCCTCAGACCTTCCTGAAAGGCATAAGGCACGGTAATCTGGCACTCCGTCGAAAATGTTAGCGGGTGTGGGGGAAAACGGCGAAAGCGAAGTGTAACGCGTAAAAACCTGCAAAAAAAGCCTTTGTTCCTCACTACATAGAATTCAGTTTCGGACGAGTTTCCCGCTGACATCGGACCAATAACCGCCACGGTAGTTACGGGTACGTATACGAATCCATGCAGCATCACAGCCGCTCGACATCAGTCCCTTGCTTTAGTGGACGGACGAGCGCGGTGGGCGTCGGGCAGGCCTGTAGCAGGATGATAGGGCGCCATAAGGGTACCGTCCCTAGAGAAGGCGCTCCGCAGTGGCGCCAAATGTGTTCTGCTCGGGGTATTAATCCTACACGTCTTGGGGTTTACCCTGCCACTTGTCTTCAAGACCTATTGACCTACTATAGCACCTACTTCTTCCAGCCAATCACAAAACTTCACGCATCCGCAAAAATATTCATAAATGCACACGATGTGAACGAAAAAGTGTGGTCCATTTGAAAGTACTTGTAAGAATCAATAATCGCGCAGAAAAATCGTTACTAGCGAAGGTGCCCGCTCGTCCCGCTAGTTATTGAAGAGGAGTACAATCTGAGGTGTGGACGGCGTGTCATGCATAAATCAACACACTGAGTCCCTCATCTACGCACTGCTAGTAAACCTGGCAACAGACGCAAACTAGAATCATAATTTTTATTTTTTATTGATTTATTGACCATAATGAGGAAATGTTCAAACATGAAGGGATAGAATGGATACAACAATGTCAGCGGAACAGCCTAACCCCTTGTCACAGCTCATTTTGCACTCCTGGCCCAATCGTTTGCACTTTAAAGACAGAGCCCGCGCTCAACCAATCCGTGGGACTTCCTTCCTTGCCCAAGCCGGTGCGCAAAAACTTTGCTACTTCCGCAACTCCACAGTGAGTGACGAAGGCGCTGCAGCCATCGTAAGTTGCAGTTAAATACGATATACCGCATATTTTACCGTATATGACTGCAACTTATGCTAGCTGCAGAGCCCTCGTCACTCAATGCGAAAGTAGAAAATCTTTGCGATAACGGGCTGGACTGCCTGGGTAAAAAAAGGAATCCTTCAACCTGGTAGGAGGCAGGGTGTCTCTAAACTGGCGAGAGATTCAGATTTCTGAGTTTTCTCAGGTGAAGATCAGGTTCCAAATTCAGGCCAATCAGATTCCATAAGGACAACCGGATGCGGCAATCACTGGTGTTTTACCGAAACCAACAGTCATGATCCTTGCAAACGATAGGTGGCTTTTCTCGCCGATCGCGGCGGACTGCAAATGACATTGTTGCTGAGGAAATGACGCCTTGCCAGCGTAAAAATCCTTGCACCGTCACTCTCCCTATCGTTTGCAAGGATCATGGTTGTATAGTCACTGCGACTAAAGTCGGTTGGAATGTATTGGTTCTCAAAATTTGTCGATCGTCATGGTACTGAAGGACAGAAATAGCCCGATAGACGGAGATCTAACTTCCTCCTGTGAACCAGGGACCACCAGATCAGTCAGACCACTGGGCTCAATATCTGCACACTATATACCAGCTGAAAAATCTCCGACAGTTGTGAAAATATTTAACAAAACAGTGCAGGTGTTCCACTCCGATACCAAAAACTGACATTCCTCGCGATTATCAGCAGAAAATATGTAAGAACATTTCGTGCGATGAGCACGGATTCCACTAGAAGAAGAAGGAAGTAATGAAGAAACGAAAGAAAATGTGAAAGCGCCCATAACAACACCCTCTAGGCGAAAGTATGTACACTGAAGAGTAGATATGTCCACTACTCAGGGCACATTCAGCGATTTATATTCATAGGCTATGTGGTCTCAAACATGAATTTGAAGATGCCCCACAGCTTGCCGGTGAAAAGGTGGAAAACCCTGGTCATGAAAAGGTCCCTGTGCGCAGAAGCGAGATACTGCTGCGTGGGCGAGACCAGAAATCAGGGATGGGGGCCAGGGAGACAAGAGGCGACAGAATGGCGCTATACAGAATGAGCTCAATGCGTCACACTGGAGTTCATAGACAAGGAACCCTCAGAATGTCTCGTCCACATATGGGCGTGACATCTTCCATGGGTAGCTTCACCCGACTAATGGTTGTTGCATCGCCCTCTTCATTCACAGAGCAGCGAAATCCACTCTCTGGATTGAGACTACACGTAGAAGGAGTGCCATCAGGTAATTGCGGAATGTGTCTTCAATGTGACAACAAACTCTTAAAAACCACTACTGAAAACCTCCCATTACACGGCTCAGTAAGATGGTTGCAGAACCATTCTATTCAATGCTTGAATTCAACCGTACTTCTTATGCAACTAAAGTCCATATTACGTGCGAAACCACGTCATGAGCCACGACTAAACCGTATGAGTCATGCTGCGGGGGCGAAACTCATAACTACCTATGGATGCTCTCATTTAGCACTAACTACGCCATGTTCATACCTTGTAAACGAGGGGAATGCTCGACTTCGGAGAATACGGAACCAAGAATTCGATGGTAATCGACGAACTCCGCCCTACTAGCGTCTTCGAATAGAGTGCGACTCGGTTGAGGATAGGGTCAATGGATTAACATCTAAACCTTTGTAGCACATTCCTCAAAATCGCGGTTTCCGAAGATCAGTAAGTTAACTTCCCCTACTTGCGCCCTAATACGGGTCATCTGTAGGGTATGAACGCGGTATAACTGCACGGATACCTGCTCAATTCACTATCGCAGGAAATTTGGTTCTTCTTCAGCTAGAATGAGGATGATGAGATGGGCCTGGGACTGGATAAAAGGAAAACAGGAAAAGAGGACGTGAGCGAAGCTGTGAAGAGAGCTGCAGTGGGCGGAGCGTGCACCGATGTGGGCGGGGCCGAGTCAAGAGTCAGTATTTCAGTCCACAACAGAAAGGACAGTCTCCGCCCAGAGGAAATTATCAGAGCAGCGACTAAGGTGGAACAGGCACGTGCTCGGAGGGTCTAAGGACCACCCAACAAGGAAAGCGCTGGATTCTGAAGTACAGGACATGCTATTACGAGTAACCCCAAGCAAGGTGGAAGGACGTCATCAAAGAGGACCTCGAAGTAGGAACTACAGTTGGAGATGTGTCCTGACACGGCAAGACAGGAACTGATGGCGCGTCTGACAAGATGGCGCGCGCAACCAAGAATGGAGAAGACGAATTAGTGAAAGTAAAAATTTTTACCTCGATCGACCCTGTTTCGTGTAGATGGCCCTAGGGTAGATATCAGCGCTCGCATCGCCAGGATCCAAGTGAACTCGACTCTCGTCCTGCGAATCTGTCATCCGCCTCTCCCTGTCAAATGGTATTACTTTCAAAAGACAAAACCATAATTCAGCAAAAACAAATGACTCAAATAGGTGCTTGTAACTTCACCACAAGTGCTTTCGAAAACATCGCTACACAAAAACAACGAAAACTTCATGTTCTTCCCTGATGAAGAAAAAAATACAATGCGGAAACGAACAGCAAATCAGCGCAGGAATCGATCAATTATATAGTTCCACAGAAAAAAAGAACTGAATGAATGAAGTTGCAAATACTGTTGGATACACTCACTAATCATAAATGACGATCTAGCCACGGATACAATCACCTAAAACACAGCTAGAAATACAGATTAAAATACAGGTAAGAATTAAACGCGAAGAAATACACTTCATGTCCCTCATATGGAGGAGGCGTGGCTGTGTACCTCATCTGACCATAGCGCCGGCTGCGATTCTGGTGGGATATCAGCGTTCTGGGACAATTGCAACCTGCCTTCGTTCAGCACAGGACAATGTAACAGTTGCCTCGAATGGAAACACCCAAACAGAAACGCGTCCAAGACCATTTCCACATGGAGTCCGCAGCCACGCCCTCTCCTTCTTCGTGATATAGAGCGTATCCGCCATGGGCACTTACGAGCTATCTTCAAGGAACAGTTTTACCGCACGGCAGTTATAAGCAATACTGGTTAGATAATACATTACCTATAGCGTCGACATTTGAAGGCCATAATTGTAGCGGCACTACTACTGGGGATAAAGATACCACGGCATAAGCAAACAAAGGTATTAGATAATGAAATAAAACACTGAATTATGGAACTTTGAATGCCGTACAGTTGCAGCTGTAGATGGAGGAGTCACGCGCATGGTCACTCCATATCCCAGAGTTGGATAGGCGTGGCTACTTACTTCACTCGAACGTGACGGGATATGCCATTTTTGGGCAAGTGTCATCTTGCCTTGGTCCGGTTCAGTACGGGATGATGACTATCTCTGAGGGGAAATCCCACAAAAAACATCCTGGGCCACGTTCAAACAGAGTACGCAGCCACGCCCTCCCCTCTTCGGGATATAAAGTGTAGCATTTGTACGAGGCAACTGCCTGTATGCCTTCGCCCACGCCGACAGCATACATCGAAATGGAATATTTCGATAAGAGACGCTGGCCTCCTACAGATTAATCAGCGCTTACGCATGATGGCAATATTTCCTTCCAACAACGAATTTTGAAAATTTTTCCGCAGCACGCCCGTATCCTCATCGATTACTGCAACTGCATCTCTCTTTTACATAACTGTCATTGTCCTACTATTTACACCCACAAGCAGGGGGGGGGGAGAACCATAAAATTACAGACCAGTTTTTTTTCAGGGAGAACCTCATCACGGAAATCAATGGCCAAAAAATCAATTGTCGAGATAAAACAGACAGTGCAACGACAACGAAATAAAAGCAGAAGAGAAGAAAAGTGTATGGAAAGTGAACAGCGATGCCTCCGATATCAAAAAGCCAATTGAAAAGAATAAAATGAATTTGAAACTTTAATCGTCTTTATCGACTTGAGGCATATCGTCCACATCATCCTCGCTGCTACTCACTTTATCACCAAACAGGGACTGCTCAGAAATTGTGGCATCCTGAAAAATCGATATCATTCCTTCATGATGAATGAAGGAAATATAGCACGCGAGTAAAGCTAAAGAAAGAAGAGAATGAGAGAATCACAGTAGACAGGGTTATCAACTAAACAGTAAGTAAAGGAAAACAGGCGGTATACAGCCAGGGCACATCCTACTTTAGGAAATATCTAGCGAGAATTTCAGTCGTATTTCGTCCGACAAAAACTTTTCGTTAGTTGATTTTTCCTGTTCCACGAGGGTTCACAACCTTGGAAGAATTCCAGTTCAGGGGGGGGGGGAGGGCGGGGTAGGTCGTATGCCGTATTCCTATGACAGAAATTCGCTGCCGTGTCGCAAAAGCAAAAAATCTTTAATGATGTGTCTCGCTCGATATATTTCGAGGAGAAACTTGAAAAATCTTGAAATTTTTCAGAAAATGAGATCGAAGGCGGGGGAAAGAAAAAAGGTGAGAAGGTAGAAGGGGAAAGGGGGGGTCGTAACAGAGAACGAAACCGTAGTTTCCGAAATGGCAGGACGTGCCCTGTATGCTCCGCCTAAACAGCCCCCGGCAAAATGGACAGCGGAATTAGGCATATGCAAGCTAATAAACTTGAGTAACTGGACCGGCTTACGGTATGCCCAATTGTGTGCATCCACGGAGACGATACAATTAATTTCACGCACAATCTTCGGAGGTGCTGTATACTGCCTGTTTTCCACGACTCATACTCCTGTGGATTATCGAAGACGAACGGAAATGAAAGAGAAACATGCTTGAGTTGATGAGGTAGACATGCAAGCTTTGGCATTCATCGGCAGGCCAAACACCTTGCGTTTATCGTCAGCTTGAACTATTTCCCAACGGAATGATTCCGCTTCTAGATCAGCACGAAGAAGACGTTTTAGTTCACGTTCAACCTGAATAGCACGAAGTTTAAATAAATTGCAGACTGCAACTTGTAAGTAAGTTCCAGTTTGTCTAACTATGGGGAAAAAGCGCCGCAATTAGACGCTAGATTTTCACGTATCATTAGCGTAACATGGTTTATGGTGCAAGCTAGAACTTTGCGAATGCAAAAAGTAGGAATACGTCATTGCAAACGCCATCGACGTGCAGGCTTTAATGAACGGCAACATGAAGCTGTGGAAGTTCTGTGCTTGCAGCCGAGGCAAACTAATCCATGCGACGAGAAATGATGTCAGCAATCGCTATCAATTGTTTTACATTTTACACATACAGCTCTTTTTTTGCAATTCGCGTTTAAAGGCAGTTGCCACGATAAATCCTAGGATCAATACTCCTGGCAGAATAGAATTCCGCGACCCTGGGCAGGTGCTGCACAGCGGTTCCCTCGAGGAAGGTGCCCTTCTAAGGGCCCTATCAAGCCACAACTTTACGTCCCAGACGCCCGCCGCGCCCGCCCGCCCACAAATGGACGACCGCTCCCGACACTAGTACTCGACCATTTGCTAAGCAAATTATGAAGCGAAGGGATTGGTATGAAGCGGCCGTGATGCTGCATGCATACATGGGTACGCACAGGCAGCCGTATCTTCGGTAGCGGTGATTGGTAAGATGCCTACGGGATACTCGTCCGAAATCGATTTACAAGTCACTGAGAACGGAGGCTTTTTCTTAGCGGGATGTGACCGTTTCGCTCCGTTCTTTCGCCATTTCTCCACTATACAGCGCCCTATAAGCATTTTATGCTAAGTAGGAAACCATCGTGCCAACTGCCTTCAAAGCTATTAGTTACAATTCTTGCGATCAAGTGTTACGGGTAATAGGTGCTCAATCAAAAAGGTTCAAGGGGAACCAGTTGCTCAAAGTAACTCCTCAGTAGAGAAGAAGCAGACGAACCCATGGTAACGTTCTGAACGGTGACCCTAAAGGGCGGTTGGCGCCTTGAACGAGTTTTTCGGATGTCGGCCGCTTGTAAGCAGTTGTCTTGCAGAGTGAAAGTAATCATGGTTGCAATAATCACGCGCCATTAACTTCTTTATCTCGCCTTTCGAGTGACGAAAGTGAAACAGTTTATGCGAATACTGACAACGATGCCAAATCCACGGGGGCGGACGATTTGATCGCGGGAACTGTCTTCGAAGAGTCCCCACGCCTGACCAATTCGCAGGCGTCCTTAATTGCACAAGCAGTCTGATCTTCAGTCTCAAAGCCTGCTCCAAGTTCACGGCTTCACAGTAAGTAACGGAAGCGCTGTGGCCGTGGCCCTCAGAAATAGCAGTTCTGACGCCTCCCTAGGCGTCCCCCCCCCCCATCAAAACTTGAGGGCAAGCTATTTTCCGTCAAAAGTTTAGTTCCTACACCGCGTTTTTCTTTTTTCCACCGTTAAACGCTATTAGTATTTAGTGACATGGAGAACCTATGGGCGAGCCAGAGGCGGCAGGATATCGTTTTGCTGGCGTAAAACGAGCAGATTCAGAGTACTCGCACAATGAGGCTGTGGGGGTTGCTTTGGGCCTTCTCTATGGGTTATCGCTCAAGGACCTGTTGGATGCACATCAGTACTGTCCATAAAGCTGACGCCTGCAACACATGGTCTAAAAATGAATATACCTCAGGCGCTTCCATATACTTCTTCTTCTTCGTCTTACGAAAACGTCGTTGACGGACGCTCTTCATCGGCGGAGTAAGGCCATGAGGATATTGCCACTGTTTCAGTTCCTGAGAAAATATCGATAGATTTCAGCCTAGGAATTGAACTGCAATTTGGAGAGGAACAGAAGCTTATTCATTGATGTTGCTGAAGAGGGTCTAAAAACAAATCAATCGATTTCACCAAGGGAGATGAATAAGTTGACCGATGACATCGAATTGATGATATTCCTGTTTCAACGGCTTACAAAATGTACATGTCAAAGTACAGGGACGGGCACGTCCTCTCGTAGGGAGACGTCCTTTTTGCAAAATACGACCCCCCCCCTCCGAATGTCCTCCTCCAGTAATACCTTCTTTTCTATCCTACCTACCATCTTGCCGACTTTTCCCAATCCTACCACTTCTCCCTGTTCTTCCACAGCCACCCCCCCCTCACAAAGCGACCAGCAAATACGACCTACCAGATAGTGCGTGCGAAACAGGAATGAACAATTATTAGAAAAATTCTCACGTCAATTGCGACTCCCAAGCTCCAGCTACTATATAAGACCCCTCCCCCGCAGGGCACTTCCCATAGTGCAGCGCTCCTGGTGGGAACACTTCATTTAAAGTGCCTGGAACATTAAGATTTAAAATTACCTGATCCCTCCACTCAAGTAAGGTACCAAAAACTGGAGTTAAACCAACTACTTGTTTAATTACTCATGAAATATTAACACCCGAAACCTTATCTAGTCACACTTCATATAATCGGCTAATTGTAAAGGGGCAAAAACCAGAGCAGCAATCAAACACACCTTTTTACTGCCAACTTTCACTACTTCAGCTGGCACTGCGCATAGATCATGACTACAAACAACTATCTGGGACAAATCAGCTACCTTGTACAGAGTCTTCTTATCCAGCGTCTTCATGACCTAAACTATGCACCACGTTTACTCCACTGCTGAGCAAACTGAACACAAAATCATAAGTTCAGGTTGTCAGGCTGCGTACAGTACCCCGAAAATTGCGCGTAAAGTTAAAAATGTCGCTTGTGAACCGCGCGGTCAGGTCACAACTCCACGCAAAGAATCTGGATGGGTCAGGTAGGCTACAGGATACCTGTCAACCGGATGCTCTCTCGCTGTGAGGGTCCAGAGGGGTTTCTCATCGCATCTTCTGTTCGAGCATTCAGAGTAAGGAAAGTAGGGAAGATTGGAGAGAGAAGGAAGGAAGAAAAAGAAGGGAGGAGGAAGGAAAATGGAAGGAGGAGGAAGGCTCCGCTGCTGCAGATATCCTGAGACCGGTCAGGTAGTCCTGCAGGCCGTTGCGTGCATTTACGACCAACACAATTAATCTCACGCGTTTCGGAGGTACTGTATGCACCCTCGCAATCTGAACTCATAATTCAGTAAACCGAACAACCAGGCTAAGATTACGGCTGTATTTATACATTTATGTTAGCGTTTCGAGCGTACTTTAGCGACTATGGAAGTCTACATACTGATCTAGCGTTTTGGGCGTACGCCAGCCTTCTCAGCGACTGCCCGCGAAAAGTTCAAAGCACCCGCGAAACGCTCAAAACGCTGGCGTGCGCTCGAACAATACCTAAAATTTCCGAGTAAAACGCTGAAGCAGTACGAACGCACTCTAGTTGGGATTGATGCCCTTACCTCGGTGATACACGGCAAATCATAGATTTTGGCACTCATGATATGTGTTCCGATGCGGACATTGGCGTGTCGCATATCCGTAGAGGTGAACTGTATCGCCAGGTCATCAATCTCCTTTCCATGGTTATCAGCAAGCATCGCATCGACCTGAACTTTGAATGATGCCTTTCCACACATGAGAAGAAATAATTGGCTCAAAGACAGTCCCCGCGCTCAATTAATTTGTAGGCGTCCCTATTTGTACAACCAGTTTGTTCACTTTCTGAGAATGTCCCACTTTCGCTGTTTCACAGTGAATAAAGAAGGCGCTGCAGCCCTTAGGCGGCGTTCAGACTTCGCGACGGCAGCACCTGGGTCGCGCGTTTGACGCGATCGATGCGCACGCATGCTTTAGATTGCATCGAACGCGCGACCGAAGCGCTGCCGTCGCGAAGTCTGAACGCTGCCTTATACATGGCAGCTCTGACGCCTGCCCTGGTTGCCCCGCCCAACAAAACTTAAAGGCTACTTCCTATCACGAGTTCAGCCCATTTTCTTTTCTTTTTTCATTATTAGGTGGTATTCGCGTTGAATAGCCAGAAAACGACAAGTGAACCAAAGACAGCAGGACATCGCTTTCCTGGCATAAAGCGAGCTGGTCCGCACAACTCGTACGGTGAGGCTTCCGGGGATCCTTGGGGTCTTCTCGATGGTTTTTTGGCTTTTTTTTTCTTCTCTGTGGTGCCACTTAGCAGCTAAATATTTGTAACTGAATACCATATTCCAAAGTTCAGTATTCAATACTTAGAGTACCCCAGGGACAGAGTCCAGGCTAAATCTACTCCCACTGAGAGGTTCCGTTGAAAATGTGGCTTAAATTTTGAAAAACGGAGCAGTAAAGGAAGTAAAGCCGCAACTACAAAACAAAAGGTACTGATGCAACATCGCAAGGAGTAAATAATGTCACTGACAACCCGATGCATTGAATATCAGCTGAGTCATGTCTTAGAAAATGAACTGCCACAACGATGTCTCAAATCAAATCAAGTTTGTCAAGGACTAGTCCTAGAAAATGCAACTGGAACTTCTCTCTCAACAGTCTCTCACACGCACACTTTACCGTAACGGTGACAGATGCGGCATGCGTTCAGCGTTGTAAGTGCAATGTTAATCCGATCAATCATTTACTGCACTCTTATCAATGGTACACGCAGCAGTATAAAATTTACGGCCATACAAATCACAGCACTCAAAGGGTCCCACAGAACTCCACAAGAATTGAGAAGAAAAAAGACTGAAGGTTCACAAACTCCTCTCTTTAGTAACTGCTACAGAAACGACATGAACGTGCTGATCAGCGAACATTTTGGGAACTGTCCTCACCTCTCCCCCTTCCCCCCTTCCGTCAAACCGCTGAGGATTCCAGGAATCGGACTCGATCTATACCCATCGAAGGCTACGTTCATACTTTGCGTCAGCGTGCGCCAGCGTCAGTACAGGTATCGATCTAGCGTACGCCAGCGTCCACCAGGAGTAAAGAGTACGGGAAAGTAGGGGGATAGCAGAGCGCCGTGAAATTGCAGCTTGTGCAGCACAACTGCTAAAGGGCTGATGCCGTTTGGACTGTAGAAATTTCGGCTCCAAGCTCATTTTCAAATTGCTTAAGCCACCAAATCCACAAAAACTTGTATATAGGGGTAATTCAACATCCTGATACGAGTATGACACTCATTCTTGGCCCTGGTGCCAAGAAAGGACACTACGATTACCTCGTGGGCTCAGCCTTAGCAGAGCGCAGGTTACCGTATTGTCATACATTAGCGGCAGCGCAAAAAATGGATGTCATATTCGTTACCAGGATGTTGAGTTACCAATATATACAAGTTTTTAGTGGATTCGGTGACTTAGGCAATTTTAAAATGAGCTCGGAGCCGAAATTTCTGGAGTCCAAACGGCATTAGCCCTGCTAAAGCACGAAATTACGCGATCACGATGAAGGGTGTGGTTGTGGGGGTGCGATTGCACACGCCGCAATTTTAAGACGCCTAATCGAGCAGACTGCTTCCCTCTACTTCCCCATCTCTCCACTCCTAGTGGACAAGCGTACACAGGCGTATGCTGATCGATACATGTGCTTTCCTTGTCACTAGCGCTGGCGTCGCTTGAAACGCTCAAAACGCTGGCGCAAAGTATGAACGCAGCCTAATCTTGTGGAGCATTCTCCCGATTCACGCGTTCACCCGATACTCTAGCGCCGTAAAACACACTCTATATCCCAAAAACGGTGAAGGCGTGACCACAGACAGTTGTCGTTCTATTCTGCGCCGAGGGGTCAAAATAATAGCGATATTTCTCTAAAAGAGCGGCCAGCGCAACGTCCTAAAGAAGTACGCATCCACGTTCTCGCCAGCTCCGGGAAGACTGTAGGAACGTGTCACTGACTTCTTTTTCCGCGAACATCTTTTCCATCGTCTTATAAGGTTCACTGCGCTACCAAAAGAACTGTCTACTTTACCACAGTTCGTGTAACTTCAGAATGTACAACTCGTCGATCATCATTCCGAAGCCTGATCTTAAGTAGGACCGGAGATGCAAAAAAACTTCATAAAACTAACAAATTACAGGTTAACCGCTGTTGTCTGGTCCCTCTCCGTGAGACAGCCGATTATTAGAGCAGCTGACAGCTTAGAATTGCGACTATGAAAGGACTGAGAGACATTCCAGTAACCTCTGGAGTTTTCCCTCCATTTCGATTTCTACGGCGAGATCATGGCACCACGCAGTTATTCTTGTAAGACAGTTGTAACATGCCGCGTTGATGGGCATGGCGAGCGACACCGCGCCCGATGGACGAGTTGTCCTGCCTGACCAATTCTATATGAATATCAAAGGAATGTGATCATGAGATCTTGTCTCCGCACGAATTTATAAGACTTTCGCTGCTCCCGTAGACGTACTTATGTGCACTGAAAATTTGTTGCGTATCTCCGTACGCGACAAATTACTGTTGGCACTACTACTGTTACTACTTAATTAGTTGTATTTTTTGTCCGTTTCCCACCGTCAGCGGGCGGATTGGTGTCTTTTTGGTTTGCTGTTGCTGCTGTCTGACTAGCTACAACGTGCTACGGCTCCTCTTCCTCAACCCCACCCCACCCCTCCCGACTGGAGCGAGTCACTCATCAGGTGGGGGTAGAGGTTATGTGGCAAGAGTCCCGCCGTTCGCCGCTTCAGTAAGCATCTCGTACGACGTCGCACGCAATAACGACGGGGATTTTGGGTGGTACTGGTCGAGAATATACAATGTATCACCAAAAATAGTCATGAGTGTCTACCATGTCCTTGTCTACGCGTAATCCGATGCTCCACCGGAAACGGTAGTACAAACTAAAGAAACACCGCGCCCATTGCCGCGTACGACGAAGCGGCAATTTACAATTCTCGTGCCCGTCTGCTAGGTTGGGGTAGTATCTTGACTGTGTCGGACACAATCGAGCGACCCTCCAGTCCTAGGTGATCTGTTCTGTAAGCTGGGTAAGAAAAACAGTAAATTCTTACAGAATGTCCTCTAAACGGCTGCCAATTCCCTTTTTGATTGTATTCCATCCTGTCTAGCTCACTCTCTCCATTTCTTAGAGGTTCCCTTCAATGACAGCCCTGCGCTCAAGTAACTCGTGGTCGCCTTCCTTGTGCAAGTAGTCCAGCTCCCCAGCTAAGAAAGTGTTGCACTTTCACGACTCCACAGCGAGCGAGGAAAGTGCTACAGCCGCCGAAAGTTCCAGTTTTGACATCCGCTCTGTTGCACCGCCCACTTTCTAGATGTCCTCTGAACATTTGAGGCAGGGCCGGTTGTTGTTTGTTAGCGCTGCCGAGCACGCTTGTGCCCATAAGTGATTCTTCTCTCCTTTATCACATTTTATCCGTTAGAAGCACAACCGTCAACGCGACCCATCTCGCAAGGTCAAACGCGTTACACTTTTTGTAGTGCACAAGCTCGACTGCACTGAAAGATGCACGCTGAGGTGACCCTAAACTCTTACGCTTAGTTTTTGAAAGTTTCTTTTTGTTACGAGTTATACTACGGTGCTTTTGTTGTTTTCCTATTCTTTTATTTGCATTGGATGATATTGACTACTGGGAGATGCGATAAAGAGATTTGTGAGTCAGGGGTTGCACAGAGACCGCAGAGCGGTGTGACCGTCACGGAGCGATTTTATTTGTGGTGTTTCTGATGATTCTTCTTGCTTTTTTTCTTATTGAGGGATTACTCATCAGCTACTGGTTCGTAACTAACTATGCAGCAACGATCCCAGGTCTCTCTATCTATCTCTTCTTCTCCCCGCGCAACACTGATAACACTTCGCTTTCGCTCACACAGCACGTACAATGTGTCTGCAGCTCTATGTTAACCACGTGCTTACTCTTGGTTTCGACCTTCGAATGTACTATGACCCGCTTTGTAGCTGCAAGGAATACGAGAAGAATGTGAGCAAATTATAAATAGAAACATTCGGATAAGTGACAAGAAGTAAAGCACCACATAAGCGCTAGTTGATTTGGTAAACACTTTCCGTATGCTCTGCCTTCTTTGAACGAACCGGGCACAGTGACGAAACTCATTGATAGTACGCTCCGTCATTAACTGGTAGTAAAGAGCGATCACATTGCTGTTGATTCGTCATGGCAATCGTTATGACATCTAGCTCGAATATCTCGTCCGGACCACCAAACCCTCTAGCTTTCGCAAATGTTGGCCTGCCCAATACTGTTAACGTCGGCTTCGCTACTCTAAATCACGTCGCAGTACTACAAATCAAAAAACCCAGTGGGCTGGTGACTTGGACGAGTGCCTTCCTCGAGTACGTGTCACACTGTGCCATGACGCCCCAGAGGCGCCGTGCTCAGGCCATGCGTCAGTCAAATCGCTTCAGTACTCAACTATTAGTTGGGCGTTTTCGCGACAAGGGTTGATACGTATCGATTTCGCAGATTCCGCCCAAGAAAAGATAAGGAGAGCTGGCGGAACTGACGTTTCGCCCGACTATTCCACCGATTTTCCCAATCGATAAGTATCTAACTCTCTTCGCGCATGGTCCACGGATGATCCTCATCGACATGTATCAGAAGCTTTTTGCAGCCGCGTCTCTATCGCCTATTCCGCAAAGTCACTGTGAGCAGTCCACTGCGTACATAGCTGCTCAAGTGGCTCCGTTTGTGCAAGTGACTCTCCCTGTCTGCCGTTTCGCTCTAGTATGTACTCTCTCGCCCCTTTTGTCTAAGTTTTCTCAAGAAATCTTTAGTCTTCGCTCAGAATCAACTTGAAAAATGTGCCTTTAAGTTCCTTTTCGGACATACTGTAATAAACATTGATTCTTACATCCATTCTTAACGAAGCTAGGGGCTGCCTAGCGGCAACACGCCCAAGGCAATTCCGATGAAGATGGTCCCAACCAAGTCATAGGCCTGCCTCCTTGTACAAGCCATCGGTCCTCAGCCTCTTAGACTGTCCCACCTGAGCGGTTTCACAATACGTTATCAAGGCATTGCGGCCGACATGAGTAGCAGTTCTGATGCCTCCCTAGTAATCCCATCAAAAACTATCTTCTCTAACGAATTCAGCTTTTTCGGTTTTCATACCGTGTTTTCTTTTTTTTTCACTGTCAAATGCTATTAGAATTGGATGAGGCGAGGAAACTATTGCCGTGCCAGAGGCGGCTGTATTCGCTTTGCTGGCATGAAAGGAGCAGGTCCGGAAAACCCTTGAAGTGGGGCTGCAAGGGGCTCCTTAGGGTGTTCTCCAGCAATTTTTTTCTGCTTCCTTACTTCCTTGGAGAGCTACTTGGCGACTATAGGTTCAAAAGTGAACTCTACTATCCACAAACTTTGATCGCTGGGTTTGTCTTTAAAGAGCCCGAGACTCAGAAAAATTTGATAAAATTTCATGTCAACAGTAACAATACTAAATTACTCAGTTCAAGATCTCACCCTGGAAGCGACATCATTAGGGACACGTAGAACAAGGTGATTCTCCCAGTCTTGTACGTCCTCTGTAACCTCACAGATCTAGAAATTCGTCACACATGATTACCATTACAAACGCTTCAAGTAAGTAAATATGATTAACCTTCTGTGGAACTCTTTTGGCAAGGATCCGAGATGAACCTGCTGACATGCGCACGAACTCGTCACCACAGTAACAGATTTATATTAGGTAAGAGCTATATAAGCAAGCTCATCTTGAGAAATATGAATATTCCACCTTTAAACGTTATTTTTATTATTTGAGTAAATGCAAAATACCGTATATAAATGAGAATGAGATAGAAGCACGTACCAGATGGCACTGCAGCAATGATAAGCAGACAAAGATAATTTGAAACTGAATAAATACCAACATCAAAAAAAAATCAACTAAAAAGTAAAACATGCAGCACAGTCCTTCCGTTGTAATGTACAGTCCTTTGATTTGAAAGCACTGCTAGAGTGATAAACTTGTGAACTTTCCTCACCTGTGCGTGAAGCTTACAGTAGTAGAGGGAATTACATATTCGTACGCAATGCTTACAGAATTCGCACCCTGGGAAGCATTCCCCGCGTCACATGAAGGGGTTAAATGAGCTCTACTGCCATGGGGGATCAACCACGGCTAAGGGGACGGCGATCCTTTGGGGCCGGGAACAGCTAGGGAGGAGTTCGGTAACCGGGGGCTATGGCCAAAGGCTTGAGGACACATTCGAGTTGAAACTCCTGAATGGTGGGTCAAATGACGAGAGTGTAAGTGCTGATGGATTGCAAAGACCGAGGGATCACGAGAACCCCTCCAAAACCCAAGTAGAGGCGAGCTACGGTAGCCCAAATTCAGGCTGTGCAAGGTTGAACAGGGATGGATGAAACGTACACAAACCAGGCTGCGCAAAAGGCGTGTACACAGGCTAATAAACTTGGGCAAAAAACCGGCCACGGTATGCCCGATCGTGTGTGTTCACGAGCCAACATTTAATTTCACGCGCGATTTTCGGGGGTATTGTGTCCCATTTGCTCCACTTAAATTCGATCTTATGAGACGGGAAAGAGCCACACTGCCGCACAAAAATGTAGCGAAAATTGATGGTAAGGCCACGCAGCAGTCGTATGATCGACGCTAACTTGTTAAAGCTGCCCAAAAATTCCCACTGTGTCCGGAGTAGATCGCAATCATGTAGACCCAGTATCCCGCGAATGATGAAGGCGTGGCCGCGAGCATCATTTGCAAGTGACGGCAGCTACGCCTCTGATGGGATATTACCATTTTTGAGTAATCTGCCTTTGTCCAGCTCAAGACAGAATAATGATTGCCTCTAATGATACCGACTTCGTCGCACGAAGGTGGGAAGGGATCTTAGAGCTAATAACACGGATTAGTCTCCAGCCCAGACGAACTGCCGGCCCACTCCACAATCGCAAACAACCTCGGCAGGGAAGGATATGGGAGCTGAATAGATATGAAATTACAATCAATAAGGTAGCGTTCAGACTTCGCGACGGTAGCGCCTCGGTCGCGCATCCGACGCGATCGATGCAGTGGAAACAGGGCACATCACTGGTTGGGGATTTTAGTCGACTCTATACGACTCCCCCCTTTTTGGAGTTGGTATGACCCCCCTCCCAGCCCTCAGCCCTCTGCCCTTCCTCATCGAATCGAGCTGTCGAGCGGGGAGGGCATATAGTACTTTTTACCAAAAATTTAGCTGTCGAGCGTGGGGGGCATTTAGTACGTGAAACAGGAAAATCGCCAAAAATCAACCGCCACTCCCACAACGCAAACGTAAATGGACCCCCCAAAAATGATCAAATACGACCCCTCCCTCCCTTTACAACGCCCATGAAGCGAGAAAAATCAATTACCAAAATAAATTTTTCTTAGCCCAAATACGACCCCCCCCTAATGACGAACAAATACGAATCCCCACCTAGGGGACTCCCCAACAACGATGTGCCCTGAGTCGAAAGCATGCGCATTGATCGCGTCGAACACGCGGCCGAAACGCTGCCGTCGCGAAGTCTGAACGTGCCTTAACTCATCAAAACACGCGTTCTCTTAGTCGGCGCATAAGACAAGGGGTTCCTATTTAGGAGGTTTTTGATATTTTTCTCCTTCAAAGGCGCGCCGTTTTGCAACTCTAGCTCCATATTTGAACTCCACTACCCTCCTTAGTCCACCGATTGCTCACCTGCAGACGAAAAATACCGCCACAGGTGTACTCCTTATCCCGGACAAGGGAGCGTGGCTGCGCACCTTTTTTAAACATGGCGCAGGATCGGTTTTCGAAGGATATTCTTATTTGCGACAATTGTCGTTATGCCTATTGCTGCGCAGAAACGTGACCGCAATTCACACAAAAAAGGAACGATTCCACTAGAAGAGCAGTTCTGTCAGGTTTAAATGATGTCCACAACCACGCCCACTCCACCTCTGGGATATGAAGCATCGTCTTCGATATTATCGTTTTCATAAAAATGTAAATAAATTCACATGTAACGCAACTGGATTAGGAACTGCAGGCAGACGTAGCAGAGGTCCGCAGTCGAACATTTTTTGTATAAATGCTCCAGTATAGGTGAGGTCCCTGTGTGGAAACTATCTCGTGAAAAGTAATCAACTTATTTCAGAACTCATTTGGCTCCTAGGTAAGGTGAATAAGACATTGAAAATATTTAACCGAAACTAAAAATAAAGCAAAAAAATCCACCACCAAAAAGAATTAACCAGGTGCTCTCGTCCGAGAGAAATTCGAGTTCAGCTATGGTAACCGCTGGGCTAGAATTTGCAAGTGACGCGTAGTACAAGTCAGCATCTTCAGCCATGCGGTAAGCGAAAACCGATCGGTAAGTACCCTTAACTGGTACAAATGTTCTGCACGTGCCAAGGCCTGCCGTACGAGAAAAATCGATGCGAATAACGCAATATAAAAAAAAACACTGGAGTTACTAGTATACCACATACGAACGAGAAATGATGAGGAATAGTGTCACAAATGCAAGCCAAAAGGAAAACCGGAGCACTGGAGCTAATGCGATGACGGAAGTGTGAGATAAAAGAACCAAGAGCGCTAAAAGAACCGATAAGCGATAAGGCTTTCAATGTCGAAACCATAAACCTTCAAATGGACCCGAAGCAGTAGGATAACAACATTTTAGACCTACTCTCATAAAAAGCCCCAGTTATATGATCAGATACTAGATGGATAAGCTTCAATACGCAATATTCGTTCCGAATTTCCAATAGCGCCGCCGAAAAGTTCGAAGCACACACGCAATATGTGCCCGACCAACTTTGCGCCAGTCTGTGCAGACTGACGCGGACTTCGTGTGTAATTGTACGCGACCACCGCGATTGATTTTCATTCATTCTGAGGAGGAATATCCTTATTGTTAATTACGGATTTGCTTGTTTTACTGAATGCTCTCGCTGTATACCTTGCAAGCCTTAAAGCCGTCCTGGCCGCCAGTCCACATCGTCGTTTTTTTTCTTTTTTTTCTTGTTGTAATCCGTTCTTCATAATATTGGCTTTAAAAACAGTATTGAGATCAAACATGTTTTTCTCGTGATATCTCATAAGGGCTGGGTGCATTGGAACAAACGAGTGTCCTTCAACACTTTACATTTTGGCCCCAGATTGTCTTTTAATGGGTAACAAACCAAAAATCCATGAGAATATCGTGTTACTTCTTGATCACGTCTAGGAAGTTTTCAACAATACCAAAAAAATCCCGAGTCTCCTTTCTGCTCCTTTCTATTGTAAAAGATTCCATTCTGTGCATCATTACGTGGTTGCGACTGATTCGATCAATATATGTGCTTGGCATGACATCTAGTTGATCAATAACCATCCTGTCTTTTGCCTTGGAATGGTTTTTGTTCGTAAATATTAGCGCCGCTCTAGCCCGCTGATCTATTCAATCAATTAATACTGATCGTTTGGTTGGTTCAGGTCAACGTCACGCGCGAGCGTTATGACCACCGACGATGTGCTGCTCTACAAAGTGATAAAGTATGGAAAGTTGATCAAAAAGAAAGAAAGGGTGAGTGGAAATTACGATTTTTCTTCTTTTTTTATTAAATTTTTTTGAAATCAATTCATTACTGGAAGGGAATTTTACTTTGAATCTATTATATCCGTTACTTTTTTTTGTTTCTGTTCTGTTACGGAAGGAGTTGTGACCCTCTGTGTTAGATTAAGTTAGAACCATTTCCTTGGAAGTAGGTCAGTAGATTTTACCACCTTTTTTGAGTTATAGCAGTTGTGAATATAATTCAGATTCCACATGTTCTAAGCCGTCTAAACGATGTTGAAATGACACTTGATATTTTGTCAGCAACGAATATTGGTCGCTATGTTAACAGGTAGGTTGCATTTTATGATCATTTTGTTTTTTAAGCCTGTGCCTGGTGCGGTCCTCATTGTTGGTATTCACATGAACCTATCAAGCTAAAGTTTCTAAAATGAGCTGTTGGAGACGGTCAAAAATAGGTGGTTTGTTATATGAGAATGCATAGATTCACAGGAAACAGTTGTGTGTTGGTTTGGTTGCTGAGCAAACCTTCATTTTTCCTTGAAAAAGATAAAGGAACATCGCTAGGATAGTCTAAAAATTGAGCTCCATATGTATAACATATCCGTGAAAAGCCTACTGAGAAAGGATTTTTTGAATAGAGTTACAAAGCGGTAAAATTTTCAATCAAATCTCCAATTATTAGGTTGTCCGGAAAGTTCTTAGCGTTTTGTGCACCTAATCTTTGTACATTCACTGCTGATTAAAAACTCATTCTGCCTTGCTTCTCAGTAGCACATCCTGTAGAGAATTTCTTGCGCTATCTGATGGTATAATTGCCGTTTCACCATTGCTTGATAAACCCTCTTTTTTCAAGATTTTTTCAAGCATGTGAAAAGAGCACTTCGGACGATTTTTTTCTTCGGCTATAAATTCGGGCAATCCGCAATCGAAACAGCTCAACAAATTAACCAGGTGTGGAGGCCCGTAGTGCTAGAGAAAGCACTGTGCCGCAATGGCTCAACAAATGTCGTTCTGGAAATTTCAGCCTTGAAGGTGAGCCTCATAGCGGTCGACCTAAAGCAATATCTGACGAGGATTTTAGGGGATTTTGAAGGTTGACCAACCCCAAACAGTTCGAGAGATAGCAGAAGAGCTAGGCCTTGGCAAATCCACTGTTGCAGATGGTCTGGAACGCATTGGGAAGGTGAAAAAAACTCGACAATTGGGTGCCCACAATCGGAGTGACCGGCAGGAATCGGCACGTCTCGAGGTTCCTTCTTCACTGCTTTTGCGCAAAAGAAATTGACCCGTTTTTGAACGGATTTGTCACCTGTGATGAAAATGGATTATGTATGATAACAGGAGACGTTCCGGACAGTGGTTAGATTTGGAGGAACCACCGAGGTAATTTTCAAAGCCGAACCCTCGCGAAAAAAATTCTGGTCAGGTTTGTGGTCATCGGCTGTTGTAATCCACTATAACTTTTCATCACCAGGCCAAACCATCACAGCAGAACCCTACTGTGAACAAACCGACCAAATGTACCGAAAATATTGTCAGCTGCAGCCAACACTTATCAAAAGAAAGGGTCCGATTCTTTTGCATGACAACGCCGCCCCACACGTTTCACAATCACTATCCATAAATTGAACGAATTGGGAGTTGAAGTTCTACCTCACCCACCATATTCTCTAGACCTTTCACCAACCGACTGTCACCTTTTCAGACATTTTCAGAACTTTCCTGCTGAGAAACTTTCATCAAACAGGACCAGGCCAAAAAGACCTTCGCAGATTTCGTGGATTCTCGACCACCCAGTTTTTTCTTTGATGGATTTCTCGACTGCTGCCACATTGGCAAAAGTGTGCTGATTCGAATGGTGCTTATTTGGATTAAATCCGATGAGTGTTAAGAAAGTTATGATCGTTTAAAGTTAAACACCCAAAACGCTAAAGAACTTTCCGGACAACCTAATAGAAAGGTGTACCGTTATGTGATACTCCAATCAATAATGCATATGTGTAATATAAAGTAATTAAGAAAAGCTAACGTGTCAAGAATTTACTTAGTATAGATAATGTGAAGGATTATTGAAAAATAAGAATTTATTTAGTATGATGTGTTTAATAAGAGTAAATTATGTCCGCAGCAAAAGAGGGATGTGACTATCTGAGGTGGGGCTTCTAAGAGGTTAACTGGGCTTCTAAGAGGTTAACTGGGGTAGTGTTGTCGCGAGAAAGCAAAAAAATGGCTTTGCCAAAGTATTAAAAGTACATCTACCTTTGAAAGTAATGTCATAAGTCGTTGGCGACCGTTGTCCATCAGAAAATCTCGAACATGTGATTCCTAATGATTCCCCGAACAGTGATCAAACCCTGAGCACCAGCTCCTGAGAATCTTTTACATACGAGCTTAAACCCACACAATTTGCTATGCCCACGGACCCCGGACAATATTTGGACCCAATGAAATTTGATTCAGTTGAAATCTATTTCCGTAACTACATTTTTCCTGGCTTTGCGATGCAAAACAGAACAGCTGCGTCTATCTACAGCTTCGTTGTTCCCTCTGAAAATTTATCTACAGTTTTCGACCAGCTGGCTTCTGTTCTACAGGTGGCCCCTGGCTAGCCGCTATGAAATTATTATGAACTGGTAGCAATAGTGGTATAGCTGTGGCGTATAACTTACCAGTCGGATCGGCCGCCTTCGCCGGCCGATGCTCCTTCCGCGTGTGAAGTGGGTCCTGGTTGGAAGTTTTCCATGAGAGGGGGGGGGGCAGTTGGATCGGCCGCTTCGCCGGAGAATGGTCCAAAAAAGATATTGTTTCGGGAATTACCGCTATTTTACCGTTTCACTTCTTGTATATACCCCCTCCTTTGGAACCGAACTGCGAATTTTTAAAAGTTTCGTGGCAAGCACCGCGCCCACCTATAGAACGCCTCGCCCAGAATGGGTTTCTCTCACTCATTTCGTCCTCCAACTGATTGCCTATCGCTTGCCCCTTTTTCCGCTCTCAGAGCTGTTTTGGAACCGAACTACGAATTTTCGAAAAATGTAGCTCCTTGATGTGCGCACGCCCCGTCCACAGTGGGCGGGGCTTAGCCTAGTTCATGTGTGTTCCGTACATCTTGGCCCATGCCCTACCCAACCCACCCTTGACCCGCCCCCTCCAACTGGCTCTACAGGTGATTCCGAATTTCCGGCAGACAGACAGACTTACAGACAGACGGACAGACGTTGCCGTCTATATATAGTAGGATTCCGGACCTCGTGACATACGTGTGCAGTCATGAAATCGTCAGCGGTATTTCATACGATTTATTCATGGTTTCTTCTGTGCTCCGAAAATGTCAAGAGACGCCGTCGAACACGTAAGACACACGTCTCTGTAAAATTGAAAAAACGCATAAAATCACCCATTATCAAAGTGAAAAATGGTTAATTTGGTGTCAAGAGACCCACAGTACAGCTGTCCGCCACTGTGTCAAAGATGTTTTCTCAAAAGGACTGCGCTCTCAACTGCCTATACGGGTGCTTTCTGTGGAATTGGCGGAATGGTACCATCAGGAGTGGGGCTTGTGGCTTAATTCGATTCAACGGGGTAAAACTCACCTGGTCCGGACACCGTAAGAATTTGCAGTTCGAAAGCTCTATTTAAATTTGGTGGGTGGCGGAGCGGTTTGTCTTGTTTATAAAGAAAACGTGCAAGTTGCTAATCTGCTGAACATAGTAGACCAGTCGGATCACCCGGCTGTCGCCGGGCGCTCCTCCTTCTGTGACATGGCCCGGCTTCGCCGGGCCATGCGAATTTGCCGCGTGCTAAGTTAAGGATCGTTGACCAACCACACTGTTCAAAGGAATCTTCTGCATCAGCCAAAAACTGAAAAGCAGCGCTTTTTCCGTCAAGGGAGAAGCAGCGCCCCCCCCCCCCCCGCTATAGAAAGTGTACCCGGTTATGTGATAGCTCAATCATAAATGCTGTTAAGAAAGTTATGATCGTTTAAATTTAAACACCCAAAACGCTAAGAACTTTCCGGACAACCTAATAGTAGGATGGATTCTCACGTCCAGCCTGCTCTTCAGAGGGACTTTGCGGGTAGGCGGAGTTCCCCATGGTGGGCCGGGCTTGACCGTTGAGGGTGGAGCCCAGGATGATAGAAGCCGAAAAGGTCAGAATTTTTTTAAGATGGGAAATTCGCAAAAGTGGGCTTTTGAAGGTAGAGAAAACGTAAAGAAATTTTCAAGCCACAAAAAACTTGCATGCATTCTTTCAGAGTTCGTTTTATAGATTCAGAAAGAAGGTTTGAGGAAAAAATGTGCAATGTAAATGTACAGCACATATTCTATTTTAAATGATTTTTTTCTTTGCTTTGTTGCTTTTTCTTGTGAAATCTTCTTTGATAACGTTCCGCAGCCTCCCATGGTTTCTAGAGGGTTCGAGGTTCAGTTTCTCTTTCAACGGACTAGTCTTCTTGTTCTTTTAAAGGCAGTTGGCACATGGTTTCCTACTTAGCCTAAAATGCTAGTAGTGCGCTGTATAGTGGGGAAATGGCGAAAGAACGGAGTGAAACGGTCAAAATCCTGTGAAGAAAAAGCCTCCGTTCTCAGTGACTTGTAAATCGATTTTGGTCAAGTTTCCCGTAGGCATCTTACCAATCACCGCAACCGAAGGTACGGCTGCATATGTGTACCCATGTATGCATGCAGCATCACGGCCGCTTCATACCAATCCCTTCGCTTCATAATTTGCTTAGCAAATGAATGAATACGAGCGTCAGGAACGGTCGTCCATTTGTGGGCGGGCGGGCGCGGCGGGCGTCTGGGACGTAAAGTTGTGGCTTGATAGGGTCCTTATAGGGATACCTCCCTCGGGGAAACCGCTATGCAGCGCCTGCCCAGAGTCACAGAATTCTATTCTGCCAGGAGTATTGATCCTAGTCGTCTTGGGGGGATTTATCGTGCCAACTGCCTTTAAAAAATCCCCCATGTCGGCCGTTGGCTCTCTGGTGTCTTTAGAAGTACCCATGGTGCTTTCGTATCTGCAAAGTATTAAACCGTTTTCTTTTCTAGTATTGTGTGATGACCCAGAATACGGTCGTGAAGCATCGAGATCATTGATAAGTGGAAGG